TCTTGGAGAATCGTACCCAAGACTGTCCCAAGAAGACATCCTGAAATGTACCCGTAGGTGGGTAACACAGCCACCAAGAGAACCATTTGCTGCCAGTTTCCCATAAATCAGAGGCATCTGCACAAGATGGAACATAGAGTGTGCACAAAAGGCTTCCCCACCTCATGCTTGCCCTCCCAGGAGCCTTGTCAGTGACCCCAGGAAAGATTACTGAGTCACTGGCTTAGCCCTAAAGTGTGCCTTACATCACCTACGTGTACGCAGGTACAGGGACATGCATTTCCATTTTCTTCACCTCCCTGGACATTTTCTTCAAGGTGTGAAGTAATATGAGTCTAGACATGGACCTTGAGTTTAAGGAAATCATATGCAATAGGAGAGGCAATCTGAACACCCCCTTACCAAGCCAGGAGCCCTTGCCCTGGGCCTCACCAGCTTTCTTTTCCCTCCCCACCCGCCCCCCACCCTCCCGTGTCAGCCTGTCCCCAAGCCGGCACCTCTGTGCCTCTGCCTCTATCCCCAGACTGCCTAGCAGATGGTTCCTGGTGGTTTTGACTCCTGCTTCTGCCTTCACCAGCTGTGAGGTCCTGACAAGTTGTTTCCCCAACCACCTGCTTGTTGCTTCTCTTAAAATAGAGATGATTGCCGCTTTACCTCCTGTGATCGTTGGAAAAATCAAATGAGCTCTGGGAAAAAATTAAATGAGTTAGTATGTAGTCCAACTCTTAGAAGCACGCTCAGCATGTCTGAAGCACACGTAGGTATTAGTAATTAATGTGATTACTCAGCCTTCAAGACTCAACTTGAACATTATCTTCATAAAAACGTGTTGCAAAAAATTTACCATAAACAGAGACAAAGAGAAGGGGTTATCCAGAAAAGATATCTGCAACACATATGACAAAGGATTCGTCTCCTTGATTTACGGGGACCAAGCAGGACACTGTAGAAACACAACTATTCAGTAGGAAAGCACCCAAACCTGCAGTTTACAGACAAGAAATATAAGGGACTAATAAGCAGGAAAAGACATCCAGTGTTGCTCATAAGTAACCAATCAAAGCAGTAATGAAGTCTTGCTTGCCAGCTTTGGGAAAGTTTTCAAGTCTGATTAATACCCATTGATGGCAAGGATGAGAAAAACAAATATTTTTTTGAGACAGGGTTTCTCTGTAGCTTTGGAGTCTGTACGGGAACTATCTCTTGTAGACCAAGGTGGCCTTGAACTCACAGAGATCCAACTGCCTCTGCCTCCCGAGTGCTGGGATTAAAGGCATGCACCACCACCACCCAACCTTATGGGTAATATTTTTATTTCTAGTGCTGGGATTTGAACCCAAGGCCTGACACATGATGGGTGAACACCCTACCACTAAGCTACATCTGCAGCCATGCATACAACGAGTAGAGATTTCTGCAGCCATTTCAATGAACATTGGAAAGATTTCTCAACACTAAAACCATACATTCCCGTGAATCACCACTCCATCCTCTGTGTACTGACACCTCACAAAGAGCAATATATGTTTCTTTTGCAGCTTAGCAATGTGCCTGACAGAAAGGCACTCAGTAAATATTCATTGAATAAATATATAAACAAAAATGTTCACTGAAGTAGTGTTTGTGATAGACAAAAACTGAAAACCCCCTGAATGCCCAGCGACAGGGGAGAATTTAAATAAATCACTGACACTCGTATAATAGAGAGCCCTATGGCTGTTAAGACCTAAGTCATACAACTGTGTGTTTTGATTTCAGATGACTTCTAATGCACAAGACTAAACTAAATTCTACAATATCAAGTTCAGAGCAGTGCACATTGTATGTGATCACTGATAAGCAACAAATGATCACACATGTTCACAAATACAAGAATGTTCTTGTCTTAGTTTGAGTTACTGTTGCTATGAGGAAACATCATGACCAAAAGCAGCTTAGGGAGGAAAGGGTTTATTTGCCTTATATTTCCATAGCACTATTCAGCACTGAAGGAAGCCAAAGGCAGGAACTCAAACAGGGCAAGAACAGGGGCTGATACAAAGGCCATGGAGGGGTGCTGCTTACTGGCTTGCTCACCATAGGTTGTTTAGCCTCTGCTTTCTTATAACACCCAGGACCCCAGCCTAGGGGTGGCCCCACCCACAATGGACTGGGCCCTCCCACATCAATCATTTAATAAAACTGTACAGGTTCACTGCAGCCCAATCTTATCTTTCTCAGTAGAGGCTCCCTCTTCTCAGATGGCTATAGCGTATGTGGAGCTGACCTAAAACTAGGCAGTACACTCTCCTAAGTTCTTTACTACAAACTCTTTACAGTTCCACTATGGGGAAGAGTCTGGGGCAGGGAGATGTGCAGGAGAGAAAACCTTGTTGTTATTACTTGTAGCTTTCTCTTCCCTCCACTTCTCTCTCTCTCCTTCTCCTTCCCTCCCCTTATCTCTCTTCTCCTTCCTTCTCCTTCTCTCCAGTCTCCTCCCATCCCCACTTCTTTTCTTCCTTTTGTCCTGTATGCATGTACTGATTTTATAAGCCAAAAAACAAAGATGCACTTTGCTGTTTAGTAGCTTTCCTGGCTCTGCCCTGGATGCCCCTGAGCCTCCTCCTGGCTGCCTCCTGCCGCTCCTCTCCTTGCTTCCTGTCCCGGCAATGTTGAGTCCCTGGCAGCTCCCCACACACCTGCCGCAGTGGCCCTCTTCCCAGGCCTTGGTGTTTGCTACCTGGACCCTCTGTTTCCATTGTTCTTCTCCATTCTGTAGCGCACCCCCAGGCTAGGCTAGAGTCCCAAGGGTATCCCTGCCACACCCTTGTGCATCTCTGCCCCTGTGCTGCTCCCTGGGATTGATGGGTTTGGAGGCAGCGGTGGTAAACTGGTCTTGGCACAGCTCTGTGCTGTGCTGTGTCTTTGCCCTGAGTTCTCAGCAGAGGGCTTATCATTCAAAAAGCCCTCAGGAAATGGTGGCCGGATGAATATTTGGGAAATACTCCCTCTCCAAGATTATCTAAAGACAAACAAACAGAACCCCACTCCCCATCAAACTCTATTATGATGGATGTTGGTATTCTATGGGTTTTAGGTTTGCTGTTTTTTTGTTTGTTTGTTTGTTTGTTTTTTGACAGAGTCTCACTATATTGCCCAGGCTGGTCTCAAACTCATGATCCCCCTGCCTCAGCCTCCTTAGTCCTGGGGTTGTAGGCCTATACCCTATTACCTAGTGAGACTAATAATCTCACATAAAGAGAACCGCCTACAAAGCTGGATGTTGCGTGGATATCCCCCCACGTCTCCACTAGCAGCTAGCAGCTGGGAGTGACTGGTCCCAGCACCAAACACCTCCATCTTGGAAGGAGCATCCTTTCTGCATTGCTCAGCCTGTAGTGGCATTTGGCCCCAGGTCCATCCACAGCCATCCTAACAAGTGGTGAAGCCCAGGGAAAGGGAAGGGCTTACCTACCCATGTGCCAAGCTCTGGATGTATGCCAGGCACTTCACCAGGCAGTGACTCCCCTGGAGCCACAAAGAGAAAAGATGCTGCCCTCCTTCTTCAGGACTTTCTGTTTCACTGCAAAAGAGGGTAGGGGGAAGAAACCGTGTTGAGGCAGAAGTACTGAGTAAGTAAATACTGGCAATTGAGGGGCCCAAAACATTCAGATCACAGGTTCACCTGGTGATGACATCCCTGCTTAGCAGAGATGCCTGCTTACAAGGTACAAATCATCATTATCACTATCATCATCGCCACCTTTATTACCATTACCACCATCTTCATTGTCATCGCCACCATCTTCATCATGATCAACTATTTTCGTAATCACTGTTGTCCTCATCATCACCATCACCGCCATCATCACCATCACCATCATCTTCATCAACAACTATTGTCATAATCACTGTTGTCCTCATCATTACCACCATCACCACCATCATCATCTTCATCATCATCAACAACTATTTTCATAGTTACTGTTGTCATCATCATTATCACCATCATCATCATCACCATCATCACTATTATCAGCATCACTACCACCATCATCATTGGGTACAAATGGATTTGTAAAGAAGATGGCTAGCTGAGGAAAGGATGGAAAGGAAAGCTGACCAGGAGACCATCAAAAGCTTCAATGGACCAGGCCCAAGTCAGTGACCTCCATGGGAACAAGCCTGAGTGAGTGACCACTGCGGGACCAGGCCTGAGCCAGAGACCTCTGCAGGAGCAGGCCTGAACCAACAACCTCTTCGGAAGCAGGCCTTAGCAAGTGACCTCCATGAGAGCAGGCTTAAACGACCTTCTGAACTACAGAGCGACCTCTGGGAACACCAGCCAACCTCCAGGAACAGCGAGCAACCTACAGGGTGACTGGAACCATGGCCCAGACTCTACCATGAGGAGCAACCCTCTGAGCCTTAGATCCATTGGCACCTGGAAGAGTGATCACTAGAGAGATGACCCCAACTACACCAAGTAGAGGAAAAGATGGCTAGACAAGATAAGAACACACCCAGCACCACAAGGAATCGCCAAAAACTAGTGACTCTGCAACAGTAAGACTTAAACACCCCAATAGAGATGAAGCAGAAGAAAATGACCTAAGAAATAACTTCAGGAGAATGTTTGAAGCCCTTAAAAAAGAATGACAAATTCTCTCAAATAAACAGAGGAAAAGACCAACAAAAAATTGGAAGAAATCAACAAATCCCTTAAAGAAAACCAAGGGGGAAAATAGCAATCAAACACTTTAACATCAAATGAACAAAAATAGTAGAGTCAGTAAAAGGTTCAGGTGGTTCTGGCAGTTCCACAGGACTCGGCTCCTCTGTGAGGGCTAGTCTACCATCTGTGGTGGGGCAGGTGAGGCGTGGGGTCCTTCAGGTGTGGGTACTTACAGGCAGCCGGTGTGGAAGAAGTGTGGGCAGCAGATGAGGTGTGGCAGGCAGAAATGAGTTGGGCAGGCCTGCACACTTGCCTCTCCCCTTCCCCAAGCTATTCCTGCTCTTACCTCAACTCCCTCCTGCCTCTGCTTCTGCCTTGGTCTCTGCAGCCTGGAGGTCACAGTGGCTTTCGCACTGACAGTCAGAGCAGCCTCAGTAACGTGGCCAGGAGCTCAGGTGGGAGACGATGTGTGAAGTCACAGAGGAAAAGGTGCATGATCTGCCAATAGGATCAGCCTCACGTGGTCTGCCATCAGTCCTCCGCATGGCCTTGAGCAGACGACTCCTCTCTGCGGATTCTGTCTGAATGAACGTTCTCCATGAAATTATTGTTACTAAAACAAACAGAAGCTCGCTGTATGTTCTTGGCTGACTTGGTACTCTATACACAGACCAGGCTGGCACTGGGCTCACAGAGATCCTTTGGCCTCTGCCTCAAGGTGCTGGCAAGTGTGCACTATCATGCCTGGCTTCACCATAGAATTCTACATTTCACACATGTCTAGACTCTAAACTTCTAGAAAAACTATAGGTAGCCCAGAGAGCAAAGAGTAGAAAAAAAAAAACAATTCTACATATTTCCCCTTTCACCAGATTCTCTGTAAGCAATAATTGGAACACAGTGCCTGTAGCATTTAATTAATCGTATGGCATTTATTGAAGGTACCATCCATGGTAAGCAATTGGTTTAATATTTTGTAACAATTAGTGTTTATAATATTAACATCGGTATTTTGAACACTCTCATATACATCCCCTCCTTTTTCCTCCTTATTTACATGGTTTCTTTTCAAAGACTCAGAGATTAAGACACATGATCAAAGGTACACAGCGAGGAAACAGTCGAAACAGAATAAAAATTCGTGCCGGTCCGAATGACTCCATGCCTTGACACGCCCCTGCCATGTATGCCTCTTCTGGAAATAATTACAGGCTGCTTCGAAAGAACAAGTAGCGGTTACACTAACTGACCAAAGCTCATCTGCCCATGATCTAAGCAGTGCTTTCTCCTCCACTGGGTCAATTCCCAATGAACCTGGAACTTCCTACACCTATCTTAATCTGGTTGCTCAGGTTCCTAAACCTTACCCTCTTGTTTGGGGTGGAGATGGGGCGGGGGGCTGTCCACACTTCTTATTTCAGGTTAATCTCCTTTGTGCAAATGGTCACCGGCTACTCTTCACAGAAAGGGGAAGTAACCCACTTCTCACTGTTGCCTGCATTGATGGTGTGTGTTCTGGGCTAACAAGGCCCTGGTAGGAGCCGTGAGCGAATTGTGTGATTGTTATTTAAACCCGAGGGCTGTTGAGCTGCCGCAGACAAAGCAGGTAGATGATAGTTTAACTTCTCCAAGAGTAAGTGCCAGGAACCAAAGATCTCTTGCTTTTTAGCTGAGGTCTGGACCTCAGGTAGAAGGTGAATTTCAAGCCATTTTGGTCCTGCGCCTGCTCAACTCTTGGTTCCTGCAGAAGTCCCAAAGCCACGAGGATTGCCCCCAAGAGTCATGAGAAGAAAAACAGTTTGGTTTATTTCTCTAGGTTTGCAAGCAGCTCCTGTGAGGGCCCCAAACAGCATTCTGCACACAGGTTTAGAGAAAAGGAAAGGAATTCAGTCGATATAGCCAGGGAGGTGGTGGGTTAGACATCAAACCTGTACGTAACTCCAGAAGAAGGCAAGGAAGCCTTCAGGAGAAAGTAGGACCACATGCACAGTGGGGGTGGGGGGCAGATACTGAAGGCTGGAAAGGGGCGTGGCCCATGTGTCTCCCAGAGGGTAGTCCCAGGCTGAGATGGGGGTGTGCATGGGAATGCCTCATCTCCTAGAGAGCACCGGGAAGTCTTACTGCCGAAAGGAGTGCAGCCACTTTCATGCTATGGATGGGAAAGCTGAGGCTCAGAGAGTGGACTTACCCAAGGTCACCAGCAGAAAGAGGACCAGAACCCAGCCTCCCTAACTCTCTCAGTACTTCCTCACACAGTCAGCATTAGCTAGTTCTCATTCTTGAAAGATGTGTGTGTGTGTGTGTGTGTGTGTATGTGTTGGGGTGAGTGTACACAGTCTCTGCAAATGTGAGTGTGGAAGGGCAGACACCTGTGTGCATAGTCGGAGGCTGAAGGAGGCCACCGTGTGTCTTGCTCAATTACTCTCTGCCTTACCTCTTGAGACAAGGTCTCTCACTGAACCCGGAACAATGCTGGTTGCCAACAAACCTTAGTGATCTTCCTGTCTCTGTGAGACACCACTGGGGTTCTAGGCACCTTGACAACCACTCCCAACTCCTGACATGTGGCCTGGGGATTTGAACTCAGGGTCTCAGGCTTGCATCTTTTACACACAGGGCCGTCTCCCCTGACCTAAGAAATAGTTTCACTGTTTCTCAAGCTATAGTGAGCATCTTCACGATTACAGATACTGAAGCCTAGTGACTCTGCTCCAGTGGGGTGGCGGTTCGTTACACGTCATAAACAGTGTAATAAAGAAAGGCTCTAGGCTTTGCCTGAAAAATACTTAAGAGGAATACGATACGGATCATCAGAAACCTGAAGAACTGGGTAAGAGGAATTATTGGACTTCCTCTTTGCTGCCAGAGAACTCTGGTTCTCAGAGCTAAGCCCAGGACTGGAGAGTCGGTGTCACCTGGGAACTTGTTAGGAGCGGAAACTCTTGGACTTTACCCCAGACCTCCCATTGAATCAGAATTGCTGGAGCAGGCCCTAGAAACTGTTTTCACAAGCCTGCCTTAGGACTCTGGTGCACACGGTTAAGGACCTCTACTCTCGGGATGGAGTGAGGGCAAGGAAGACAGGAAGACAGAAAGACAGGGAAGGTCTGTGTGACAAGAACGGGCTCTCTGGGGTGGGGCAGTGAGTGCTCGCTCCAGACTGTGAACTCAGAGTAAAGTGAGTTGGGAGGAGGCAGTGCCCTGGGAGGACAGTTCAAATAACCAATTGTATCTCTCCAAGTTTAGGAAAATTTTCCCATGACAGTAGGCTGGTATCTTAGTTACAGTTACTATGGCTACAAGGAAACACCATGACCAAAGATCAAGTCATTGAGCATCACTGAAGAAAGTCAGGACAGGAACTTCAGCAGGGCAGGAACCTGGAGGCAGGAGCTGGTGCAGAGGCCATGGAGGAGAGCTGTTCACTGGCTTGCTCATCATGGCTTGCTCAACCTGCTTTCTTATAACACAGGACCACACGCTTAGGGATGACACCACCCACAGTGGACTGGGCCCTTCCCCATCAATCACTAATTAAGAAAATGCCTTATAGCTGGATCTTAAGGAGACATTTTTCTCTCAGTTGAGGTTCCCTCCCTTCAGATGGCTGTGGCTATGTCAAGCTAATATAAACCTAGCCAGGACAGTCAAGAACGCAATTGTTTTTCTCTTCTGGAATGTCAGCTCCGCAAAGGGAAGGGTGCGTTCTTGTTTTTGCTTTTAGTTTGTAATCGTTGCAACCCTAGTGCTTAGAGCAGGGTATAGCTTATGAGTCAAATCCAGACCACGGCCTGCAGATATAAATAAGAATTGACTGGAACACAAGCACACCCATTTGCACCAGGGCCTTTTCTTTTTTAACTTCAATAGCAAAGGCTGTGATGGACCGAATGGCTGGTGCTTTATACAAAGAAGTTTGGTAACTCCTGATCCGCACTACTGTGTTCGTCGTGGCCAAATGCTCAATAAGCGTTCATTGGAAGGAGGGGCTTCTTTCTCTGTTGGTGACAGAGAGATGCAGGACCTTGGCCCAGGGAAGAGTAAGGAGGACAAGGAATTGAGATCCTCCAAGAGTTGAGGACCTGGACTTGAATTGTGACTCCGCGGTCTATGAGGTTCCGATCTTGGGCAGATACTGAGTATCTCTGTGTTTCATAGCTGCATTTGTAAAACAATAGTAGGAGTGGCCAACTTTGATCAGTTTATCAGGATGAGGAATTGGATTTCACACTATCCAGAGTCTGGTCCAGGCAAGGAGGAAGACACCTACCTCATCAGAGATGTTCAGGGAGAGGGGCAGACATGCAGATTTGGATAGTGGGACAGCCTGGCCTCTCCACGGCTCTATCCCCAAGCCATGAGTTCTGGGTGTGGAGGGGGCAAGTTCACAGCAGATTGTCCTGCAGTTCAGCTTGGACTCGCAGGAGGCCACAGGTCAACCAGTTGACCCCTGATGACCTTGAAGACAGTGAATAACTAGGGAAGATCTAGTTGGCTCCGGACTTTCCGATGTGTTTTGTTTTGAGATAGGGTTTTTCTACACAGCTTGGCCGGCTGTTCAAGCTCACAGAAATTCTCCTCGTGTCCGCCTTCCGAGTGCTGTGGCTACAGGTGTGGGTCACCAAGCTGTGCTGTACAGCCTGGAGAAGGATCCACGATAGCCAGACTTTTGGTTTCGAATGAGTGAGGCTGCTAAGGATACAATGATCCTAAGTGAAAGGAGAGAGGGGAAGCAAGATACCATTAAATCAAATATTGTAAACAGCCTGCAGAAATCAGCTGAGGAAACCTCTTTAAGGTCGCCAACTGGAGTTCCCTGCAGACGGACGCCATCTTGGGCAGAACAGAGTGTCGCCTCTGATGAGGCTTCCAAGTTGAAAAAAAAAAAAGCAAACAACAACAATAAAAATAACAACAGATAAAAATGATGTCATCGGGTCCAGAATTCACAGCATCTGGCTGCCACCAGCTGGGAAAGCTGAGGCAGCCAGCCCAGATTCTCGGGTTAGCTTTCTCTCCACCGCTGAGCTTCTGGGTTCTCAGGTCACTGCAGACATTTTTGTATTCTGGGATAAACAATAGTAGCCATTAGCAATGGTTTACCATATAACTGTCCTCAAGAATGCAACGTTTTTACGTTTTGTTATCCTTTTCCCTCTGTGTCACAGAGTAATTTGAGGGGCATCCCGAGACAAGGGCCCTTTAGGGGACATTTTGAGACCAACATGTTTAGGTCAGGGGAAACCCCACTTTTAGAGTCAATCTCATCGTTAATTCAAATAAATAACTCATGACAATTTTTGAAAATAATGCTCATAGTGCATGCCTGCTAGGCTTCTACATATATTTCCACTAGGGCAAAGCTGTGCGCTTGTGTACTGTGGCCTAGTCCCCGATGATCAACTGTGAATACCTGACTGGGGGTCAGAGCGGAGCAGTCCGAGGTTTGTGAGCCCCTGGGCTCACCCTTGTCGCCAAAGGACTAACTGTGACCCTTGTCACAAGCTCACTAAGTTCTCCAAGAGGAAAGGGTTTTTTTACAATGTGGAGGTGTGGGCCCTGGGTGTTTGTGGTACAGTGAATTACTCTTTTTTTTTCTGTCAGTAGCTCAACATAGCCCAGGTATTCTGGCAGAAGTCTCCAAGCCCTCTTAGTTCCCCAAGGTAAAGCCAGACACAAACTTAATTACAGGCAGATACAATCCACGCTGGCAGGGCTCTCAGAAGCGTGCTTAGGACCTCAAATGCTCCTGATGATCGAATCTTTGCTCCTGAGACTTTGAAATTACCTCCCATTCCTGTTTCCTACCTATCAGTAAATTGAATTTCTCCCTCATGTTGAGAGAGACGCAGTGATTCCCAGAACTCTCCGGGGCAGTGCTGGCAAGTTCATTTTCACATGTGAGAATTGTACCCCGGAAGCTTATTCTTCTCTTTGCTCTCTTACTCCAAGCCCCAGGCCCTGGCCCACAAACCACAGATCTCATTAAGAACCTCTCGCTCCACCGCGTAGAATTCAATTAGCGTTATCTTCAGGGTCCGAGCATCTGCTGTGTTTGTTCCAAGAAACAGAGGCTTAATGAAAAGGAACGTTGAAGAAATATAACCTGGATTTTATTTCTTCAGGCTTCTAGCTTCCTATGTTTCAGGATCCAAGACACTGTACTCTCCCTCTTGGGAGTCAGTCACCACTTCGCCCCAACTCATTCCGCATTACCTCTGAACCAGCTCAGCGCAGGTCAGGACCATTGGCATCATAACCCTTAACAAAGGGTGGCTTGTCTTCAAAAAACAGAAGACAGTTATGCCTGTCTAAAGGCTTAGTGATGCTTCTGTGTGGAATGCAAGGCTCTGCAGGGGCGTCCTGTAATATTGGTACAGAAGTCTCAGAAAGTCTGCACAGTCTTTCTGGGGTAGTGCTGTGCCCAGGTCCCAGGCTGTGCTCCTCAGCTTCCCGGGCCTGGACATTCCAGGTCACCGAGGAATCTTTGGCTCTGTTGGCCAGGATTAGTAGTCTAT